CAATTTTTTCCGCGACATTCACTAAAAATGCTGTCGGAAGCTTATGGTGATAATACTCCATCGATTTCAACATGTGAGTGGTTTCGGCACTATAAAAAAGGTGATTTTGACACGGAAGACAAAGAACGTCCAGGCCAGCCGAAAAAATTTGAAAATAAGGAAGTGAAAGCTTTATTCGATCAAGACCTGAGTCAAACGCTAAAAGAACTTGCAGAATCATTAAATGTTGGTCAATCAACGATTTCCAGACGTTTGAAGGCCATTAGAATGATTCAAAAGCAAGGACATTAGGTGCCGTACGAGTTGAAGCCGAGGGACGTGGAAAGGCGCAAAATGATCTGTGAATTGTTACTTCAAAGACACAGAAGAAAAAGTTTTTTGCATCGTATCGTGACGGGTAATGAAAAATGGATACGCTACGATAACACAGGCCCATAATTTAAAAAAAATTGTCTGTGCTGGGGATTTGACTAGATGTACTATACATATTTTGGGCTGCTGAATCCAAATCCGGTGTCAGATTTGCTCTATCACCCTTGAGTTTCCCGGAAAATCGAGGAAATCGTGAAAAGGAGCAGATCTCCAGGTTTTTATGGAGACATGTATTCAAGAAAAATTCTAAAGTGACGAATAACTCCATAACCCCACAACCAACGTTGAAAATACATTATGTACTTCAACATGGAAAACGAATCATTCTACACATCCCCTTACGGGGCAGTTGTCATCGTCTCCAACATCCTCTGAAGCAGCAGGATTTATCTGATCGACGATCATATATTGTAGAATTGATATTTCGAATAGAAAAAAGATTCCATCTCGTGGACAATAACATGAATGTGACCATGATAGAGCACGCACAGATTAGATTTTTTAATCTATGCGATGTTAAAGGATTGATGGGTGAACTAAAACCGAATATGTATGATGGTATATGGGTTATTGGGTTGTTCTAGTCATCAGATGTTGAAGTACATAATGTATTTTCAACGTTGGTTGTGGGGTTATAGGGTTATTTGTCACTCTAGAATTTTCCTTGAATACATGTCTCCGTAAAAACATGGATATCTGCTCCTTTTCACGATTTCCTCGATTTTCCGGGAACTCAAGGGTGATGGAGCAAATCTGACACCGGATTTGGATTCAGCAGCCCAAAATACGTATAGTCAGACTCTCAACACAGACAACTTTTTTTAAATTGTGGACCTGTGTAATTGATATTATTGTATGATGCAAATTCAAGTCAATATATATCTGCCTCATAAGTGTAACCATTGAAAAAGTCGTGGAGTTTCCACCGTCGATTGTCTCACGTCGTGATAATCATGAAAATGTCTGGCTCTATCTGGGTTTTTGTTCAAAAGCTGCGCTCTTTGCGGGCAATTTCGCCGATGGCCATTCCTCATCTGTTATTTTGTGTTTTTTCTTCTTTTATTGTTTCGATCCATTCGGCAGCTTACCGGTAATTCTCGCTTTTGCATTTTACGGTGGGCCGAGCGTGTCGATCCCCAATCCCAAGTCGTTCAGACGGCGGCCAGCGCGGCACGCGGCTGCTTGTTGGTTAGGCGAAATTCCACGGCTCATTTTCGGTTATATTCCGGAAGCGGAACAGTCGTACTCGCGCGAAGTGAAGGAAAGTTGAGGGTGAGCGCGCGGAAGTAAATCTAACTCACGATGATTACATCCCCCGCGTCGTTAAAGTATCTGAGACGCCGATTTTTCGCGCTTCTTTTCAACACGATGAGAGTCACAACAATAACGATATTTCACTCAGCGCAATTGAGGTCGCTGAATCTCACTGGGGCACGATATCAGGCGCCCGCACGAGTCCCGCGCTTATTCGGGAGTAATAATCGTGGTAGGTGCCGTCGCGTCGATATCGTAATGATTCGCATGACTGCCTGTTAAGGGTAGCGAACTCTAACAGTCTCTCGTTGCTCGCTCCCTCGCGAGCGAACTATCCCCGCGAGCGAGGACGCGAGATAAGGGGGTGACCGGGGGCGAGTCGATGATATCGTGTAGCCCGGTAATTTACGGGCAGGTAACCGAAGGGAATACGAAGAGACAGAGTGAACGAGAGAACAAGAATGAGAGAGAGAGAGAGAGAGTGTGTATGTGTGTCCCAGGATACAGGAAGTATCTGCGGAAATATAGGAAGCGTCCTGGGGATACGTTACATTACACCTGCGCGAGTGGTGGGAATAACCAGCGGTGTCGGTATTATACATCTATGGTCCCCTCCCAACATAAAATTAGGAGCCACGAGATTATTAATTATCATGTAATATTTAATTAAAAAAGTTTCTTTATTAATAAAAACATAAAAGATATCATGTTTTATACTTATATTGCTTTCCAAACATACTGCTGCAACTTTTATAGTCCATGAATGATTTGTTGTAACTCAAACAGTGAATGCAATAACTATTTATTTTTATTTTTTAGTCATCAATAATTTATCTAATTGTTTAAATGAGACTATAAGATTTGAAACGATGTAGAAAGAAAAACGAAGTCTTCTAGGACGATTTTTGTGGAAAACACGCTTTAAAAATCATATTGATAACGTAGACAGTTTAATAGTTTAATAGGATATTCCAATGTTTAACGGGGGCACGGATTCTCGTTATCCGATCGAGCAAAAATTTGGCAGGGATTTTTTTGTCAAATGGAAACTTTTGGAGGGTGCCACGGAAAAAATTTGAAAGTCGAAAAATAAGGACCACCCTATATACAGGGTGTCCCGCGTAAGACGTGCCAAAAGAAAAATATAAGTAGAACAAATAAAAGTGAAAAAAAATTGTAGAGGTCATTTTTCAAATAACCACGTAAAATTTCGAGATATTAATAAAAATAGTTGGAGTGCGCGACAAGCGGCTCGCCGCGGCCGGCGAAGAAAATGGACGAGCGCACACGTACACGTACGCACACACGGAGCTACCCATTTCTGTATGCCAAATAATCCACCTCTCTGGCTTATAAGATAGACTCGCAAGCAATCGTCCATTTTTTTCGCCGGCCACGGTAAGCTGTATGTCCCGCCTGCCGCGTCGCCGTGCTCTAATTTGTCCAAATATTTTTATTAATATCTCGAAATTTTACGTGGTTGTTTGAAAAATGATCTCTACAATTTTTGTTGAATTTTATCTGTTCTACTTATATTTTTCTTTTGGCATGTCTTACGCGGGACACCCTGTATATATATACAGGGTGTCTCACACTCTCCTCCGGGCAT